GTTTTAATCATAATAAGTTATCATTAAATTTAGATAAAACTAATTACATGATATTTAGTAATAAAAAGAAAACAACTGATGTTCCATTTAAAGTGGGTGATGTTGAAATTTACAGAGTCAGAGAGGTGGTTTTTGGGTGTCATCAGTGACGAAAAACTGACATGGAGACCCCATATAAATTGCTTAAGAACAAAAATGGCAAAATATATTGCAGTTCTGTATAAATTTAAGGAGTTATTTAATGATAAAGCACTATGTATACTATATAATGCAATAATTGTTCCACATTTGATTTATTGTATAAAAATCTGGGGAAATGCAGGTAAAACAATTACTAATCCTATTTTAATTTTACAAAAAAAGGACCATAAGAATTATCACAAGAAAGCATTGCTATCACTAAGTAGAATTTGTTTTTTCCTATTTTGTTTTGTCTTGTTTACTTCCTGGCTTGTTATTGTTAAAAAAAATATTTTAAAAATAAAAAACCTGTGCCTCCTGCACAAAGTGAGTTTATTTGTGGTTGGATGAGAAGTATAAACATAAACCATTCTGACACTATTGGTTCATACGATCCAACACGCCTGTACATGACACAAATATGTCACACTACAGCAAAACATACGCAACAGACGCATGTAGCCTGGTCTGAAGATGTCTGCAGCAGATAGGGCTGCAACGATACAGAAAAATCACGATTCAGTTCTGTTCGTACTATAGCGTCATTTTTTTTCCAAAGCGACACTTTTTTATACAAAAAAAGAGATATTTCCATGCACTTCTTAACTTGTAATTTATTGAAATTAAGTATGAACATTTGTTTAACCTCAAAAGTACAGTTTTTAAATTAAATTCTGCTGAAACAGCAAGTTTCTCTGTTGATCTGCACTCAAAGCAGGCTGGGTGGAGTCATTAAATCTATATCCTCTGAGCCTTCAACACAGCACATCTTTAGAAGACATGAATTATAAAATAAAATGTAAAACTCTGTATTGTTCGTCCGATAAAAGTCCATATTGAACGGTTTGATATGGATACACGTATTGTTGCAACCCTAGTAGCAGAGATATAGTGTCTGCAGCTGAACAGGAAGACTAGTGCATCCCAAATGTTCAGTTTTAACATTTTAATAGTCTTCATGGCTTTTAGAAAACTGTTTTTTGGGGGGGGAGGTCACCTTCGGATAAATGTCATTTTCGACATTGTAATTGCTCACTTTAATCAGTACTTTTACTTTTAATACTTAACCACAATAAAGGTCAAATACTGTGTGTTAAAACTTTACTCAAGTACTATTCTTGAACTTTTACGACTTGAATTTTTACCAAAGTAATTTTATGGTAAGATAATTGTACTTTTACTCAAGTATCACTTTAAGGGCAGATATTATGCATTCTTAGTGACCAACTGTGTCTTTATCAGGAGAACTTACAGACATTTCACAGCTTCCTGTTTTCCTCAGAGACTTTGCTAAATTCTGGTAAGATGTTGCAGTAAAAAACACTGAATTGCTCCATTGAGGCAGGCCACTTTATGTTGTGTATGACTGCAATACAACCAGGATTTAAAGTGCCTGTGACATGCGTATCCATCAAATGCTTAAAAGCATTCACACAATAAATGTGTTTCCATTTTGTGTGTGAAAATTAAAATAATAATAATAATATTACTTGGTGATCATAATTGTTCTTGCTTAGGTTTTGCACATGCCTCACCAACCATTCAAGTGTGTTTTTCATGTTTTATTGGCCAACTCTGGTGCTATTATTTTCTCTTTATGGAAGATGCATAAAAATATAACCCAGCAGAAACAATAGAGATAAGGTTTTGTGACAAACTGTGCTGATCGGCAAATGATGAAATTACGATATGGTCAACCGCCGGCAATAATAAATGTTAAAGTATGGGGTTTTAACAGTAAATAGACACAAACAGTAAATAAAGAACAAAAAACAAGCATTTTGTTCACTTCGTGACCAGTTTTAGGTTGTTCCAGCTGCTGCTAACAGCTGAGGGATGATGCTTCGCGGCTACTGATTCAACACTAAACCAGGTCTCAGCGTGTCAGAAAAAAAAACTTTCTGTTCACCGTGTTTGATTCTCACCTGACGAGTAGGCCTCCTGCCTCTCCACACTCATGAACTCTTTCCTCTCATATTTGGCTCGGATCCACTGGTCCCGCAGGAGCCTGGAGAACAAAGTGTGAGATGCTCAGCTCTGCCTAGGTTTCATGTTTGCTTCCTTCTTCAGCTGATATTTTGTAAACATCTAATTAGCTCAAACCACTACGGTCTTAATTATTACTCAAGTCTCCATTCTCATCCATCTGTGGGACATTTACAATGCTCAAGCGTTTCTTTTATTTCCCATATCTGTCTTGATTATAGTAATTAGCCTTGTGTTCATGTGTGGGTTTTCTCTGGGTATTCTGGTTTCATCCCACAGTCAGAAAATAATTAGATGATCTGATTTGATTATTTGACTGTGAGTGTGATTGTAAATGAGTGGTTGTCTGGTTTGTTTCTGTGTTAGTCTGTAAAGAACTGATGAGCTGATCTAACCAGGTTCTATCACAATTACCTCAACTGATATATTATATATTCTACGAGTAAAAATTCGAACATATGTTGCATGATCATAAAACAAAAACCACCTGAATCAAACCACAATGAGAGCAGAGACAAAAAAAGTACTTACAAGCAATCTTTGTATGTAGGTCGATAGAAGAAGGCAGGTACTAACTTTTCATATTTGGCTTTGGCCACATTGTTGCCCACAGAATCTATAAACTGACAAGATAAAAATGTATGGTTTCAGAATGATTTCAGATGTAAATCTTATACCTTTTGGATTCAATGGTCCAATTCTTCTGCTGTCAAGCCAATTTTAGCCACTTTAAATGGTGAACACAACTTACATTAGTATACATCTACACACTTCAATACACAACCAACTGTTATAATTTGGGTCTTGACATATTCTCTGAAATCCTCATGCTTTGTATTTTCTTCTTCCAGCACCTGCTGTCAGCAACTATTTAAACAAGACAAGTTTGTTTGTTTGTTTTTTACTTCAGCTGTTAGTGGTCATAATGTTTTGGTAGAAAAATATCATGTTGAAAGTTCTAGATAGAAAGAAAGAAAGAAAGAAAGAAAGAAAGAAAGAAAGAAAGAAAGAAAGAAAGAAAG